ATCCATGCTATCCACGTTGTCCATGTTATCCACGCTATCCATGCTATCCTTGTTGTCCATGTTATCCTTGTTGTCCATGTTATCCACGCTATCCATGCTATCCACGCTATCCATGCTATCCACGCTATCCATGCTATCCTTGTTGTCCATGTTATCCACGCTATCCATGCTATCCACGCTATCCATGCTATCCACGTTGTCCATGTTATCCACGCTATCCATGCTATCCTTGTTGTCCATGCTATCCTTGTTGTCCATGTTATCCACGCTATCCATGCTATCCACGCTATCCATGCTATCCACGCTATCCATGCTATCCACGTTGTCCATGTTATCCACGCTATCCATGCTATCCACGCTATCCATGCTATCCACGCTATCCATGCTATCCACGTTGTCCATGTTATCCACGCTATCCATGCTATCCTTGTTGTCCATGCTATCCTTGTTGTCCATGTTATCCACGCTATCCATGCTATCCAAGCTATCCATGCTATCCACGCTATCCATGCTATCCACGTTGTCCATGTTATCCACGCTATCCATGCTATCCTTGTTGTCCATGCTATCCTTGTTGTCCATGTTATCCACGCTATCCATGCTATCCACGCTATCCATGCTATCCACGCTATCCATGCTATCCACGTTGTCCATGTTATCCATGCTATCCATGTTATCCATGCTATCCACGCTATCCATGCTATCCACGTTGTCCATGTTATCCACGCTATCCATGCTATCCACGTTGTCCATGTTATCCACGCTATCCATGCTATCCACGCTATCCATGCTATCCACGTTGTCCATGTTATCCACGCTATCCATGCTATCCACGTTGTCCATGTTATCCACGCTATCCATGCTATCCACGCTATCCATGCTATCCACGTTGTCCATGTTATCCACGCTATCCATGCTATCCACGTTGTCCATGTTATCCACGCTATCCATGCTATCCACGCTATCCATGCTATCCACGTTGTCCATGTTATCCACGCTATCCATGCTATCCACGTTGTCCATGTTATCCACGCTATCCATGCTATCCACGCTATCCATGCTATCCACGTTGTCCATGTTATCCACGCTATCCATGCTATCCACGTTGTCCATGTTATCCACGCTATCCATGCTATCCACGTAATCCATGTTGTCCATGTTTCCAAGCTATCCATGCTATCCACGTTATCCATATTATCCATGGGGCATAGGTGGCCTAGTTGTCTAATTCGCTGCTATTCGCTGTGCAGAGTTGCATCCCTTGGGCACGCCAGAAACCTATGATTATGGGTTCAAATCCTGATTGCCCTGATTAGGTTTCTTGGTTTGTCAGCAAACTCATGCTCATGGGTTTCACGCTTCGAGCTTTCCTCACACATTACGCTGACACGCCGGGATATAACTGGAATACTGTCCAAAGTGGCGGTAAACCCAACACACTCACTGACTGACTTATGTATATTGTGTACGGCAAAAGTGGATGAGACTGAAGTGAATAAACTATGACATCCTTGCAATGTAACTTGTTATGAAATGTCACAGCACTCTATGACATCAGCAAAGGAATGTTGCTTCACATAAGAAATTGAGGGAATAATTTGCTAAAGAATATGCACAGTAACAGTGAGTAATTATCTTCTGTCCCTGTCACATGTATTTTCCTTGCCTTGTCTTCTGTCTCTCCCTGTCACATGTATTTTCCTTGCCTTGTCTTCTGTCTGTCCCTGTCACATGTATTTTCCTTGCCTTGTCTTCTGTCTCTCCCTGTCACATGTATTTTCCTTGCCTTGTCTTCTGTCTGTCCCTGTCACATGTATTTTCCCTGCCTTGTCTTCTGTCTGTCCCTGTCACATGTATTTTCCTTGCCTTGTCTTCTGTCTCTCCCTGTCACATGCATTTTCCTTGCCTTGTCTTCTGTCTGTCCCTGTCACATGTATTTTTCTTGCCTTGTCTTCTGTCTCTCCCTGTCACATGTATTTTCCCTGCCTTGTCTTCTGTCTGTCCCTGCCACATGTATTTTCCTTGCCTTGTCTTCTGTCTCTCCCTGTCACATGTATTTTCCTTGCCTTGTCTTCTGTCTGTCCCTGTCACATGTATTTTCCTTGCCTTGTCTTCTGTCTCTCCCTGTCACATGTATTTTCCTTGCCTTGTCTTCTGTCTCTCCCTGTCACATGTATTTTCCTTGCCTTGTCTTCTGTCTCTCCCTGTCACATGTATTTTCCTTGCCTTGTCTTCTGTCTCTCCCTGTCACATGTATTTTCCTTGCCTTGTCTTCTGTCTGTCCCTGTCACATGTATTTTCCCTGCCTTGTCTTCTGTCTGTCCCTGTCACATGTATTTTCCTTGCCTTGTCTTCTGTCTCTCCCTGTCACATGTATTTTCCTTGCCTTGTCTTCTGTCTGTCCCTGTCACATGTATTTTCCCTGCCTTGTCTTCTGTCTGTCCCTGTCACATGTATTTTCCTTGCCTTGTCTTCTGTCTGTCCCTGTCACATGTATTTTCCTTGCCTTGTCTTCTGTCTGTCCCTGTCACATGTATTTTCCTTGCCTTGTCTTCTGTCTGTCCCTGTCACATGTATTTTCCTTGCCTTGTCTTCTGTCTGTCCCTGTCACATGTATTTTCCTTGCCTTGTCTTCTGGCAGCACATGAAGGTCATTGAGCGTCCTCTGTTCAGGTATATGGAGTTAGTGCGCAAGTTACAGAAGACATACCGTATGGAGCCAGCAGGGAGCCATGGAGTGTGGAGCCTGGATGACTACCAGTTCATACCATTTATATGGGGAAGTTCACAGCTGCTAGGTAAACAGGCAACAGTTTCAGTTTGTAGACTGGAACATAAACAGGTGATAAACTTCAATAAGGCCAAGTGGGTCCGTGTCAGGGGATCACAGCTGAAATGCATCTTCCGGAGAAGGAAGTGTTAACTGACTATAAAAGTTCAGTTTCCACGTTTGCCGAACTAGGATGGAATTATGGAATAATATATTGGCAGGACTAATGAGTGTATGCATAGTCCAATCAAAATCGCATAACGAAATTGACATCCAGTTTGTTAACTGCAATGGAGATTTCAGTCGGGATTTGCAAAGCATGTGCACCGCCAACACGACGTCAACATACATTATCCAAATCTGTTTATAACCAAGGTGCTCACATGACTGGATGCACCTTGCGAAGTGGGACCCTTTATATAACAAAATAGAATTTGATTATCAGATTGTCTTGACTTGGCGCCGGCATTTTTTCTTAAGCTAATGCAAATGATATGGGAGGTAGAATCTGCTTGGTCAATAGGAGGGACATAGAAGGGCATAACTCATAATAGCCAATGGTGGCGCTACGATCGAGCCAAGAAGTTCCAGCCTAGTTCGGCAAGGGTGGAAACTGGGCTTTTACAGTCAGTTAACTCAATTCTTTGGGAAGTTGAGCTCAAATGGTGAGCGCTACTCCTCAGTAAAATCAGGATAAGTTTAGTAAGTTTTTCAGACGAAGTAATTGTCAGCACTTTAAAGTACACCATGCTAATTTGGGCTATTTTCAAAGGGGTGGGATATTTTGGGGTTGGGTTGGATGCACTAATGTGCCCATCCACTGCTGTCTACTTACACACAGGCAACTGACTGCTGTTTCAGGTCACCCAAGGATCCAGCCGAAATCTTTCCCCAAGCCAGAAATTAGTGAACACTTTCATAAAGACTTTATGTTTCTAGGATGTATCAAGTATATTAATGAGGTAAGGTTTCAACCAATTCTTTGGAAAGGACATGTTGTACACAGTCGTGAAAGGCGACAAATGGGATCTTGACGTCAGGCTCGCTTACTTGGTTGATGCATGTCATCATATCCCAATTGCATGGATCGAGTCTCATGATGTCAATCGCTTTATTGTCTGGCCAAGACTCGATTATTTACAGACCGCTGTCATAAAGCTGGAATATTGCTGAGTGAGGCGTTAAACAACAAACAAACAAACAAACAAACACATTGCTATTAGCTCCTGAAAGTCAAGTGAGCTTTGTCACGACACCTGTCACCCTCCAGGCCGGCTGTCATTGTCTTTTGCATTTTGGACATCTCTTCTGAAGGCCTATGGAGCTGAAACTTTGAATAAATAATCCCAGCTATGGTGTCTCTAAAGCATGCTCACAGAATTCCGATCCCATTTTAAACATCGCAGTCACAGCAGCCATTTTGAAAATGTCAATTTTGGCCATACCTCAGGTTCTGCAGGTGTTAATATGGAATTTGATATGCAGCAAGTATGTGGACTTTGGAATAACATACTATACGTTGCTGATCATGTTTCGATGTTTCGTCCAGTGAATACCTTTCACTGTCACATTCCCTTGTGTTTCTAGTGTTCAGTATTTTGACAAACGGAGCTGAAACTCTGTATGAATGATCTCAGCTATTGTGTTGCTCAAAATAGCTCACAGAATTCTGATGCAATTTTAAACATGACCACCATGGTTGCCATAGAAACCCATTCAAGGCTATTAATTGGCCTTCTTTTTACAAAATGTATTTCCAACAGCACAGGTGTGATTCATAGTTTAGTAGCGCGGCCAAACATATATGTTCTATTTTTTGGGACGATATTATCAATTTTAACCCCAAACTATGCAGGATGTATGTCTGTGTGTCTGCATACATTGGGGAGCAGTCGCTAAAACCTAGGTGTTTGCCTATGGTTGCCATGGAAATCAGTATTAACTTGGAAAAGAAATGGTCCAAGCAACATTGGAAGAGGCTGTCTGTGGGATGGTCGTGCACCTTGTGATATAGGAGAAGAGACATGTTTTGTGTTTGGGGTATATGATCAAAGAGAAGAAATTACATTATGTTGTGTCAGGATAAGTATAATACTGGCAATAATTTTGATTACAGGTTAAAACGGGACCATTTCCTGAACATTCAAACCAGTTATGGAACATCAGTGGTGTAGGCAAGTGGGACAAAGTCAACTCGGGACTAGTAAAGATGTACAAGGCAGAGGTGGGTAGTCAACTCAGACTAGTAAAGATGTACAAGGCAGAGATGGGTAGTCAACTAGTAAAGATGTACAAGGCAGAGGTGGGTAGTCAACTAGTAAAGATGTACAAGGCAGAGATGGGTAGTCAACTAGTAAAGATGTACAAGGCAGAGATGGGTAGTCAACTAGTAAAGATGTACAAGGCAGAGGTGGGTAGTCAACTCAGACTAGTAAAGATGTACAAGGCAGAGATGGGTAGTCAACTAGTAAAAATGTACAAGGCAGAGGTGGGTAGTCAACTAGTAAAGATGTACAAGGCAGAGATGGGTAGTCAACTAGTAAAGTTGTACAAGGCAGAGATGGGTAGTCAACTAATAAAGATGTACAAGGCAGAGATGGGTAGTCAACTAGTAAAGATGTACAAGGCAGAGATGGGTAGTCAACTAGTAAAGATGTACAAGGCAGAGGTGGGTAGTCAACTCAGACTAGTAAAGATGTACAAGGCAGAGATGGGTAGTCAACTCAGACTAGTAAAGATGTACAAGGCAGAGATGGGTAGTCAACTAATAAAGATGTACAAGGCAGAGATGGGTAGTCAACTAGTAAAGATGTACAAGGCAGAGATGGGTAGTCAACTCAGACTAGTAAAGATGTACAAGGCAGAGATGGGTAGTCAACTAATAAAGATGTACAAGGCAGAGATGGGTAGTCAACTAGTAAAGGTGTACAAGGCAGAGATGGGTAGTCAACTCAGACTAGTAAAGATGTACAAGGCAGAGATGGGTAGTCAACTAGTAAAGATGTACAAGGCAGAGGTGGGTAGTCAACTCAGACTAGTAAAGATGTACAAGGCAGAGATGGGTAGTCAACTAGTAAAGATGTACAAGGCAGAGGTGGGTAGTCAACTAGTAAAGATGTACAAGGCAGAGGTGGGTACTCAACTCAGACTAGTAAAGATGTACAAGGCAGAGATGGGTAGTCAACTAGTAAAGATGTACAAGGCAGAGATGGGTAGTCAACTCAGACTAGTAAAGATGTACAAGGCAGAGGTGGGTAGTCAACTAGTAAAGATGTACAGACAGAGGTGGGTAGTCAACTAGTAAAGATGTACAAGGCAGAGATGGGTAGTCAACTAGTAAAGATATACAAGGCAGAGGTGGGTAGTCAACTAGTAAAGATGTACAAGGCAGAGATGGTTAGTCAACTCAGACTAGTAAAGATGTACAAGGCAGAGATGGGTAGTCAACTCAGACTAGTAAAGATGTACAAGGCAGAGGTGGGTAGTCAACTAGTAAAGATGTACAAGGCAGAGATGGGTAGTCAACTCAGACTAGTAAAGATGTACAAGTCAGAGGTGACACGGCAGAATTATTTTTATATTAATGAATAAATGATTGACATAGCTATTTATTTTTATTTTATTTATATATGTCATAGTGATTATGAAAGCATATTAATTCTACATGATGCACAATGATACATGTAGAATTATAAAACAAATTGTAAGACTGCAAGCTGAAAGTCCGGAAAGTGTTGTAGAATGGAATGCATAACCCAGACATCAGTTGGAGTTTTCACTGCACGTGAATACCTTTCTGGTCAAGAATTTCTTTTTGACAATTCTAAATTTGTAGCTTTCTGCTTGGCAAAAAGGATACCACATAGATTAAATGATAAATCTGATGAATATTTAATAGAATCTTTGATGGAGTTGTTTGTAATCCATCGTGTCTCTCACAGCTGTGGAGTTTCAAGAAGCAAAAGAGTGCTTATGAAAAATACTGTTAACTTTTGTATTTTGCAATCACGATAAACAGTCATGGTTTACATATGGAGTTCTTATTGAGTATTTGATCATGACAATTGTGCAAGCTGTGTTCCAGCCAACATATATTGACTGGTGAGACTTGACAGCGAGCAGTGTCAAATAGTGACACAGGTTTCACACTCTTAGAATGATAAAACGCATCAGGCATATTTCTGTACTGCTTCAAATTTCTTTGTCAATGATGAGGATGATTTTAAGGCAGCTTCAGTGAGATAACGCTTGTTCTCAAATTGGATGCGATAACTTTAAATGAGTTAACTCCCTTCAGTCGTAAAGCATGATTTACACACCGTGCTATGTTAAAACCCTGAACCTTATGGATCTCTGCCATAAAAAGACATTGCCATCAGTGACTGGGTGGCTGGGGTGGTCCTATAAATTTCCAGGGCATTGAATTACGATTACTATCCTGTTATGTGGGGAAAATCATCCCGCAGAGATCATATCCATCTTCTGTTGGCAAATGAAGGCAATTTACCCTTCAGGTACTTTGTTCAATCACTATTAAGCATGCTTAATCTAGAAAAAGAAAGAAATGGATTCCTTTTCACTGTCATTTCCTTTTAACCATTAATGAACATTTTCACCTTGCTGAAGCATAAAGGTTATATTTCACCACAAGCGGTAGTTTATATTTCACCTTATGCAGTAGCGTCAATTTCACCTTATGCAGTAGTGTCAATGTCACCTTAAGCAGAAGTGTCAATTTGACCTTATGCAGTAGTGTCAATTTCACCTTATGCAGTAGTGTCAATTGCACCTTATGCAGTAGCGTCAATTTCACCTTATGGACTAGTGTCAATTTCACCTTAAGCAGTAGCGTCAATTTCACCTTATGCAGTAGTGTCAATTTCACCTTAAGCAGTAGTGTCAATTTCACCTTATGCAGTAGTGTCAATTCCACCTTATGCAGTAGTGTCAATTTCACCTTATGCAGTAGCGTCAATTAGCTCACAGACTTGGACTTGGAATTCTATGCAATTGTGATTCTGCCTCTGCAGTACATGATGACGTTGGAGTCTCGCCGTCTCATGACTAAGTTTTCACTACAATACTTCGATAGACTATTTTTATCATGACTTCAGTTCACAAAATGTTAATTCAACTCCTCAAAAGGATGGGTTGAGAGTGAGGAAGATCTACATTTTCCATGACAGTGATACAAGTGTATAACACTGGGCAGTTCATTAGTAAATAGACTGCCTCCATGGTCTTGTGGTAGAATGTCTGCCTGGAGAGCGGAAGGTCCGGGGTTCGATCCCCGACCACGTCATAACAAAAGACGTTTAAAGATGATACTTGTTGTTACCCTGCCTGGCACGTGGCATTAAGGGGCTAAACCAAGGACTGGTCGGTTTGAGTGAGTAAGCTGTGTCTGAGTGGGGTATTCATGTTAAACTGCGGCATGGTACCTCTGTGGGCTAGCACCATAAAATCGGCATTAGTCCGGACTAGTACAAGCAGCCACTTGCATACATGTCAAGTGGAATAGTCTTGAACGCGACAATAAACCCAGTGTCATCTCGCCTCATTAGTATGACACATCCCACTAACTGTTAACAGCTGTTGAACTTCCGGAGCTTAAATGTCAACATCTGCCACTGACACCAGTGGCACAGTCACACTCCATGACATGGTCCTCTATTGCAGGTGCTTGCCAAGTTCCCCGTCATTCAACACTTCATGTTTGGCAGCTTATTAACACTTCAACCTGTGACATGAGGCCAGATACAGTTGTCATGGAAATAGGATGGTCAGCATAGAAACATGAAGCTCTTGCAAGCAATCAGTGTTTGTGGCATTCCATGTATCATGGGTAGATCAATATCATCACTGTGATCAACACAAGGGATGTCCGGTCTCCAAAGATCAGTATGGAATGGTTCATGGTTGGTAGGAGTTACCTCCCTTCAACTGTAGTGACGTGATCAGTGCAAACCTGAAGTGGATCCAGTCAAATAACAGACTCTAAACTAACATATTTTCTTGCTGTAAGTTTATACATTATCAGAAATAACTGCCTTCATTTTGATGTTATCTGTTTGTATTTTGATATCTTGAATGTCAATAACATGTCAGCCATGTATTAAAAAAATTGAAATTATCCTTGAATTGATGTGATTACTAGAGGTTGGAATGTTGTTTCTTTTCACATTAAAATGCTTCAGCTTGTTGTTTAAGAGTTTCAGGGCTACATGCTTCTTGTATTGATACAGCTGGGGTGTCTCTCTGGCCACTGATGCTGGACTGTAGCTGGTCACCCACTGACCAAGTAACAGTGTACTTTAGGCCGTTACAAAGTCATTATTGGAGAGTCATTCCTGTCTCACTACCAAACCTCCCACCTCATGGCGTGTCAATGTCACTTCATCCATACAGAAAATAGCAACAAGTAGCCCTTTCTTCCTTGATGGATGCATTTCACCCTATCTGCAGCTCCCACAAACAAGTTGCTTCATGTGATTTACAAACCTCCAGTTTGTTTAGAAAAAAATGTAAAAAATACAATGCCTCCTCCAAGACAATTTGGACAAAAATCTGATAATTAGTTGATTGTTGCCTTGTTAGGTTTATTTTACTAAGCAAGAAATAACGCCAACAACATTCCCCAAGACACATTTTCCCTTTACACTTTATCCCACTTTTGATGTCTGTAACTGTACATCCGTACACTGAAATACACCAACCCTGTACACCAGCCACATTCCTGGTACAGATTTATTGGAATACATTTTGTCTGGCCTCAGAAGAATGGTGTATTTCCTCAGTTGAAAAAGTGCTTTTTATTTACGTTTTTTAATGGATAATCTTATTTGAACACAAATTAGGCAACTTTGTTTTCCTTTTGAGTACATGGTTGTACAAGAGACAGATATCAATTGCAAGTAATGGTCGGATGATCACTGTAGCTTTGTACTTGGAGAAAACCCTGGTTACATTATTAAACTGTTTTATTATCTACCTCATGGTTCAATAGTTAAGCTAAGACCTGTTATCCTCTGTTCCCTTCTCTCTAATGCTGACATTAATTATAAGCTATAATGCTGGTCTGCTGGGGGTTACAGTCACATCACTGGAACCAACGGACATCTTCAGATCGTCATCTGTACCACTCATGATATAAAGATTTTACACTAACACAGTGTTTGTTATACACGAAGAGATACAACACATTTCAAATAAAATATATAGATGTATGATGATTTGCTTGTTATTTTATTCAATAACTGTTGGCTTGTTGCCTTGTGTGACCATCACCTCGTTCATTAGACAGATGTATGTATGAATCAGCTGCCAGCTCAGGTGACTCAGGTAGTCAGTAGGTATGGGCGTGGCAGTCAGTAGGTATGGGCGTGGCAGAGTATCCCCACCTGGCTCCCAAGGCAGGAAGATACACTTGTGTCTGTAGATCAGCATCTATTTAGCTGACCCTTATATTCACTGATGCAAAGTCACAGTAACCCTGAATAGCCTAAGCTTGGTGCGGCTCGCACTGGGCAGCTGACCCAGATTGTTGGATGCCATATATATATTTGTTTCTATTTGCTTAAAATATTGTTCAAAATAGTACTTACATGTCAGTATTTTTCTTTTTATAATGACTCTTTTGACACGTTAGCACACTTTGGTTAGTTTCTAGAACGCAATGGACAATCTATTATGGGCTAATCAAGATCGCTAAGATATTGCCTTTTCTCATGGGGAGAGGGGCGGCCCAGTCGTTCTTGGTGCCCTGTCGAGTTTAGTCCTGTCATCGCGAGGAGACCCAATGATCGAATCCTGAATTCACTCTGCATGGTTATAAGTCTTGCTCTCGGCATTAAGGGGCCAAAACAAGGACTGGTCCTCTCGGAGTCGGTAAACTGTGTCTGAGGGGAGTATTCATGTTAAACTGAGGCATGGTTTTTCAGTGGGCTAGCACTATAAAATCGGCATTTTAGAGGGAGAGAGAGAGAGAGCAAACCGCTGTTACAAGTTGGAAGTGACCGCTCCATTATTTCATTTGGGGACATTTTTTCAACAAAAATAACAATTAATTGACTACTGGCTAACAAACTGAGATTCGTCTAGCACCTCACCCCATTTCCAAAGTCTAGTGCGGACTTTATGCATATGGAAGAAGACACTGTGGTTGACCCACCTTCTATAAACACAGAGAGCAGGGCTCTGGCGTTATCTATAGTCGGGAAACAAAACAATGCTAACCTTCCAGAGGTCGTTTGATAAACACTGCCTATTACATATATGTACGGTGACATTGCTTTAAGCTCCATGCGGGGATACTAGAAAGCTGCCTCATCCCATTGTAACTCAAGCCTTACTCTACTACTCTTTTAACGGTTGCTTCGGATTTTGATTTGTTTGTTTGTTTGTCTTTATACGCCGCACTCGAAAATATTCCAGCTACATGAAGGTGGTAAATAATCGAGTCTGGACCAGACAATCCAGTGATTAACATTATGAGCGTCGATCTTCGCAATTTGGATACGATGACATGCACCAACCAAGTCACCCGATCCCGTTAGTCGCCTCTTACGACAACCCGAAGGCCAATTCTCTCCCGGGTCTTCTGATTAAGAAACGAATTTAAACATATCCTGACATGGATGTGAGAGAGGAGCGGGTGGCTGTAAGTTCTCCAACAAATAACAACAGTGAACATTCAAATACAATGAAAAGACACGAGATAGGGAGGGACATTGTTTCTTTGAGGTGCGGTTGTGTTTTGAACCCACAAAGTATAAATGTTTATATATTTATTTTAATTAAGAAATGTTGTCAGTAGAGCCCAGTGTAGACGTTCTTATCAGTAAATAACTCCTAAGAATAATTTCATAGCCCCACACACAAACAAGTCTTGCAACAAAACAACCGTCGTCCCCATGGTAACTGGTAAACATTATACTCGGCCATGACTTGGACTTCTTAACAGGACGTAGCTGACCTGATCAATGGGTCCATACTCTACTGATAAATAACCCAAAATCAACATTGCATCAAAATATTGCCATAATTGTATTTTTTACATATTTCAAATTGAGATATTAAGATATTTTTACTATTGTTCTTCATTTATCATTATTGCATAAACCCACATGTGTAGACATCGTCGTCTTTGTTAAAAATACAAATCTCTTAGTTTCGTAAATCGATGTATTGTGTGACATTTTGCTGTATTTCATAAGTCACAAAGTATCCAAGATAAGATCGTAATACGTAATAATAGCGCCAGTACATCACGTGAAATGACGTGGAGAATTGTCTCCCCTTGACTAGATATGAGCCAAAGTGCACCCGACGACGTGGTGTCTCACCACGACCACGCGGCACACACGGATGAGCCTCGACACATACTGACTGTGTAATATGCGTTTGTTATATATATAGATATTTTGTTTCTCAAGCAAACATTTAACCTGCGATGGTTTCATATCTGGGGTTAAATGGAAGGGGTGCATTTTGTGTTTCGTTTTATAATGCCGCACTCAGCAATATTCCAGCTATATTACGGCGACCTGTAAATAAACGTGTTTAGACCAGACAATCCAGTGATTGATATTATAAGTAGCGTCCCACTACGAAGCGACGGGGCTGGGCTGGGGTGGGGTAGGGTGCGATATGGTAGCTGGCATGTTGAAATTTACACCACGTACTATATACCGTTAACTCAATCGTCTCAAATCTCGCGATGTTCCATTACTTTGAGTCCACGGGTATTACATATTCCAACAAACATTCCACTGAGTTGATAAATATTTGACAAAATGCTGTCTGTATATATACATGTCTATTGCAGTCTATTGTTTTCTTAGCATCCAAATACATATCCTGATTTTATGCTTACGTTGTCTATTTCATGTACATGTACATTGCTCGTCGACAGCACGCGTCTTCCCAGATGCTTTTGTCAATAGCAACATTTGATGTCGAGTTACTTCTTTAACGAGTTGAAGTGCCACTGTATATTAAAGCGATATAATGTGATGTGCGTGTGTGTCGTGATGAATGATAATTCAATATGCAAATTAATATCTAGCGTGCGTGGTTTCCTCAAATGCATGTGTTATAAAAAACGTATTTACAGAAATGTGTTTTCTGCGAGACCACCTGATCGGTAATGAGATCGCAATAATCATTTGTAGAAATGGTATTGCCGTCAGTATATCGATATGGTCACATCAATGGCAGCACGTATAATCAAGCGCGAATTGACTCCCATGCTCTGCTTACAGCAATGGTGTGATCGATATGAGCACAGGACTTGTCCCCGTGACCCCCAGATGCCCACGGTGTGTCCGAGGGGTGGTTAACTTGGGGGTGGGGCCAAGAGGTGGCGAAGGTCATCGCTGGGTCAGCCAATTAACATTCAGGTCAACGTTATCGTGTATGAAAGGTATCGGGTCGGTACAGACACGCCCGCTGAAATAGACGCTAATAAGATGCTGGATAAGCCGCTAAGACCGGTTATCCCGCATCTGCAGCACAGCAGATGTTATATAGTCATAGTTAAGTGATGATAACATACTGTAACAGATAAATAGTCATTTGCAACTGAAAAAAAAGTCTGATCATGTCTTAAACAGATTGCAACGCGTTTGAATTTAATTTGATCGTTGACAGTTTAATATTTTCCCACAAGACCTATTTCATGACGAATATATGAAAGTCCCCTTTGACGCTATGGAATCCCAGTAATGACACGCCATGTCTGGTAATGTATGGTGAATGTGTTATTTGCATAAAATACTGCCTCGTCATGCCGAGGGATGTCCATGTCATCCCTCCATGGCGACCTCGTCTCTTATCTGCCCAGCTGGACACTCCAACCCCGTCAGCTGTTGTAACACCATCCACGGTACATAACACAATATGAAATCAACACGATCATCACTTGATTGTTGTAATCCGTGATGATCAACGGGTTAATGACAACGCCTGCGGAAAGAAACATGATTTAGCATATTCCTGATCAGAAAAAAATCTTGTAATCTGTCATTTTTTTAAACCATCACAAATTTAACAGTAACAAGTCACCACTCTCGGGGATATTTGCTTCTAGGTGTAGGCGCGGAGAGATCGGAAATATTGGTGGCTCCCTTATAAGTGAATCATAAACTCAATCAATAGTTGAGTCAATAATTCGCACGAGCAGTTAGTACAAATATGCCGTATCGCTAATCCCGTGACAAGCAAGCTGTTTACGCCAAGCCCTGCTGTATCGATCGATGTGGAGGCACACCATGCCGCAGCTGCCGCCCACGGCCGGCGGTCAATCGGGGGGAGTGGTCAGGCAGGCAATGGCCGGAGTGAGATAGCGGTCAGGTTGTGACGCAGGTCGTGCGTATATACCCTAGACGTGTCGCGAATCGATGCCATCTTGTCGTTGTCCCGGATCTGCCTGTTTGACAGGTTTTACTGACCACCCTGCCGGACACTGGACGCTTCCAACAGCTGTTTGGTGTGTACGTGCGTGCGTGGTGTGTGTGTGTGTGTGTGTGTGTGTGTGTGTGTGTGTGTGAGTGAGTGAGCGTGTGTGCGTGCGTGTGTGGTGTGTGTGTGCATGCGCGTGCGTGGAGTGTGTGTGTGGTGTGAGTATATGTGTGTGTGTGGTGTTATATATGCCAATGAATATAATATGTAGTCGTTAAATTATAATTACAAAAAAAAATGAAAAGGAGCCGAGATACTTTCTTCATTTTCAGATACTGAAGTAGTCTAGACTTGCCAAACATTATTGACTACTACTACTACTACGTCTGCTGCTACTACTACTACTACTACTACTACTACTACTACTACTACGTCTGCTACTACTACTACTACTACTACGTCTGCTGCTACTACTACTACTTCTAAGTACTTATTCTCTATATGCCGTGCACTATTAAATTCCCTCTCTCTTCACGCCAAAGACTACTACTACTACTAAGTACTACTTCTCTCTATATGCCGTGCACTATTAAATTCACTCCCTCGTCACCCCGAAGACAACTACTACTACTACTACTACTACCACTACTACTACTACTACTACTACTACCACTACTACTACTACTACTACTACTACTACTACTACTACTACCACTGCTACTACTACTACCACTGCTACTACTACTACTACTACTACTACTACTACCACTACTACTACTACTACTACCACTGCTACTACTACTACTACCACTGCTACTACTACTACT